ATCCTACTTCCGTAGTGATACTGCCTCGGAAACCCAAGGAGGGGTCGCTATGAGTCGGGGCCGACTCGACGGCACTTAACAACAACAACAACAAAGGCACTTGACTGCTAACCAGAAGGCTGGCAGTTCAAACCCACTAGCCACTCCTCGGAGAGAAAGTTGGGCAATCTACTTCCGTAGTGATACGGCTCGGAAACCCAAGGAAGGGCCGCTATGAGTAGGGTCCTACTCGACAGCATGTAACAACAACAGCAACAGCAGCCTCCTAAACTGTGAGAGAATAAATTTCTGTTTGATAAAGCCATCTACTTGTGATATTTTTGTTATAGCAGCACTAGATAACTAAGACACTAACCAATAGGTCTTCAGTATGCACTAACCCCAAGACTCAATTGTCACACATAAGCCCACTCCCACAGTTCCAGCTTGTTGTCGCCTTGTCCCCTGTGTAATCCCCTGTGTGGCCCTGCATTGAGGCATTCTGTGATTTCTTCTCTGGGGCCTGTGAGTACTGAATTTTAATTGTTTTCTAGTGTTTCTGCACGAGTCTCACTTTTTTGTGCCACACTTGACAGATCATCTACAACACTCACAGGCTACCCTTTGGGTCAAACTTAATATAACTTAATATTGATATTTCTGTAAATACATATACACATAAAAAGTGTTACCTCACTCACTGCCGTCAAGATGATTCATCTCATAGCAACCCCTCCTTGGGTTTCTGAGGCGGTGTCTCTATGGAAGTAGATTTCCCAACCTTCCTTCTGAAGTGTGGCTGGTGGGTTTGAACCTCCAGCCTTCTGGTTAGCAGTCAAATGCCTTAGGCACTACACCACCAGAGCTCCCAAAGTATTACCTATTCATACAATGAAACTCTAAGGATAAACAACTTAAGTCATCCTAAATTCAGCCTTCTGTGCAGAGGCCCTCATCAATAGCACCTTGCTCTCCCTACAGTGGCCATCAAAGCTTTCTTGGCCCTTCACTGCATTGCTACCTACATGAAGATAGCAGACTGTTGGCTATTCACAGGGGAGGACTATGTAGTCTTGCAAAGCCAGGGTGCCCCATGCACTGCCCCTTTCCCCACCCTCAGGGTCCCCTTCATCTCTTGCCTTCTCTCATCATATCATCATATTTTCCAGATGGGTTGCCCTAGCTCACCCACCTCAATGACCCTAAAATGACCTTGGTAGCTTTTCTGAGGACAGAGGGCTCTCTGTCTGGGGGCAGGAGGGCCTTGGTGCTACAGAGGGGTGCAATCTGCCCACTAGGTCCCCCTGCCAGCCACTGGTCCAAGTATCCCCCAGCTCTCATTAAGCAGCCCTGCCCCCCTCCACCTTCTCCCATGTCCCCATGAGAGTCAACCTTTCAGAGCTTCTTCCAGGCCAGGCCTGGCCTCTGCCCTTGATTTCAAACTGCAGCTGCCTTTGGCTACTCACCTGCTGCCCTCACCCCTGCCCTCATCTGTGCTTTCCCAGGAAGGGGCACCAATGAAGCATAATGGACCGCAAAGGTGCCAGTCAGCTGACATCAGGGTATTGTGGGCACTGGGTACCCAAGTGTCCCTTCTCAAGCTCTTTCTAACCATGGCCAGGTCCAGCCCTGACACCCCTCAAGGCTGGGAGCTGCGGTTAGATGCTGGGGCTTCACTTCTTCCCCAGCCCCAAGGATGTCCCACCTTCAGGACACTTCAGGAAAATACTCACTCTTTTTCTTCCAGAAGGGCTCTTTATAATAAACTATACACTTGATGACTGAACCCAAAGGCACACGAGTGATCAGCTGGTTTCTCATCATTGGCAGAGGAGGATTGAAATGAATCTTCATGCCCAGAGTAGGAGGAATGGCACTAATCACATATTTAGCCTAGAAGAAAAACAATGTCATGAAGCATCATTGGTTGGTGCTCCCCCCCTCAGTGATTCTCCTTCATACTACCTTATGCCCCTTCAGCTTCTTAACACAGAAACTGAAGGGAGTCTGTTAAAACCTAAATTAGACTTTATTGTTCCTTGCTCAAAACTTCCAATGACTTCGCATCATGCCTGGAGTCGATGTCAAGTTCCTCACAGTCATACACTTTCCTACAAGTTCAAACATGGAATGGACCCCTGTCATATCTCTAATCCTACCTCCTGATATTCTTTTGCCCACTCCTGTTTCTGCCATTTTGATCACAATGTTGCCCCTTGATCATTCCAAACTTTCTCCCACCTCAGGGCCTTGGCTAATCTATCTGCCTAGAACACCCTTCCCCTGAGAACCACATGGTTCACTCCTTTGTCTCCTTCAGTTCTGTGATCAAATAGTACCTTCTCAGTGAGACCTTTCCTGACAACCTTATTTTAAAATGCATGACCAAACTCCTACCCTACCTTCTTACACACCCTCCTCCCCTGCCCTGCTTTATTTTTTTTTCCCACTACTTATCACTATCTGGAGGAAACTCAGCTGCTAACTGAAAGGTCAGCAATTCAAACTCACCATCCACTCCACAAGACAAAAATGTGGCCGTCTGCTTCCATAAAGATTACAGCCTTGGAAACCCTATGGGGCAGTTCTACTTTGTCCTATAGGGTCATTACAATTGTAATTGACTCAATTTTTAGTTTTGTCACTATCTGACATACTTTATATTTATTTCTTTGATTATGGTCTTTCTTCCTAAATTTCATGAAGACAGAGATTTTTGCCTGTTTTGTTCACTGCTGTATTCCTAATTCCTAGAATAATGTTGGGCACATAGAAGGTGCTTGATATTTATCTAATAAATAGTTTCTTTTGTTTTTATAATTAAGTAACAGCCCAATGGAAAGGTTGATAATATATGTTTTTATATATTCCCTCAGCAAATATTCTGGCTCTCTTTTCCTTTATTTCAGATGTTGTTAGGTGCCGTCGAGTTTTTTCCAACTCATAGCAACCCCATGCACAGCAGAACGAAACACCGCCTGATCCTGTGCCAGCTCCATGATCCTTGCTATATTTGAGCCCATTGTCATAGCCACCATGTCAATCCATCTCGCCAAAGGCCTTCCCCTCTT